GGTAATTGAGATGAAAAAGGAAAAAGCAACTAGAAATAAAACCCAAACGAATCCCAAAATTATATATATGCGCCTCTAAATTAATTAGGAGCGATCTTGTTTTTCTTGAGTGAGTGCTGGCAGCTTTTGTATTCAATTGTCATTAAAATGAAAGAGTGTTTACTCACAATACCAACTGTATTTACATGCCTTGTGATAGCGTCACTTCTTCTTAAATACTCGATGGAATTTGTAATGAGAGTTCTTTTAATATTACTTGCGCAAAGAAATTTGACTGGGCCTTTAAGAAATATAAGTTTGCACTGGATAAACAGTATTAATTGATGCTGGTAACATACTGAGAGGCAGCTAATCTTGTATTGGTGTCAAACGATGATAGTGATGATAAACCTCTTTTCTAAGCATTTACTTCAGTATATTTGAACACATATTAACAAAGTCAACATCTTTACAAAGGTTCGTTGTAAACACTATGGTTCCTTTAACAGCACGTTCACTTCAAATCATATTACTGAGCTAAGTTGACATATCTCATCCAGCTTTAATAAAATCGAAAAATCCTAAGCGCATTCTGATTCCAAAATACTAACCCCCACTACTTCATAATGAATCTGCAAATGATAGACATGTTCTTCTTTTATCGTGGTTACTAAACTGCAATTTTTTTTACCTAAAGGTTGTTCTTAAGATAATTTAAATACATCAAAATTTTTCTTACTCTTTTTATCAAATGGCATATCTTCTACTCTCTCCTTACAGCCGTATCTTTAAATAGTTTCACACAACCGTCCAAACAAAGTCAACCCTATGCATAGCAGATTGCGTGTCTGATTGTCTGCTTTACTGCTTTTCTCACCTCACTGATCCTCCAGCAGTAAAGGAACGGGTTTAATGTGGAGTTAAAGAAAACTATGACAACTGCCATTCCTCTGAGTATAATGAAATTTGGAAATCGGTTTTTACTAAAACTGATAGCAATTTGTACTGAAAAATTGGTACATAACAGAAAAATAATGCTAACTGCGCCCAAAGTGCACTGTAAACTGCCTTTTTGTATTGTGCCATGTTCAGTGCACTTAGTTGGTTCGGCTGTTGTTGAACGTTATCTTGTACTTGAGCCTGATGATGACTGAGAGCTAAGAAAATCTTTGTGTACGAGGCGAACGAGATAACCAGGCAAGATGGTATTAATATAAAGGCGAACCAAAAGGTTATACGAAAATTGAGATAATAAAATAAACCAGCGACTAGAGAGAAAGCCCAAGCGATTACTAAAATGATATACATGCGCCTCGAAGTTACAATCTCTTTGTATCTGAGTCCTAACAGCATGGCGAGAGGTCGGTCAACACTTATGGCCGTCACCGTCGACAAAGACACTGAAATTAACGTATGGCCTGTGACGAAGGCTGCTTGGAATGAGTATCGACAAAGACTCCTGTGTTCATGAACCACGGACATCCAATAGGTAACAAAGAGAGGCTGAGTAACCAGACCAACCAACAAGTCAGTTATAGCCAGACAACGATACAAGAGTTTGGATGGCAGATGAAGGGAAGACTCTTTGTGAAGGGCAACAAGGATAAGATAATTCCCAAGAAATGCTGTGATGGAGAGAATGTTGACAGCTTTGAATGAAATGGACTGTTGTTTCAATTCACATACCCAAAATGGGGAGCAGTCCAATCCTTTAAATATTTTCGTCCGTGTTTCACTTTCCGTTATATTTGCTGCCGCCATCATCCTTTTTTGCCCTTTTTACTCTTTTGCAGGTTATTATTAATTACAACGAGGAACATGTCGTCTTAATAGCCCAGAAAAATACTTTATCAGTTGCGCCTGAGTATACAGCTGTGTACGAAAGGTGTGCGGTGTGTCACATGGAAGAGGAAAAAAGTGTCAGTTTTTCCGCGAATTTGAACTGGAAATGATGAGGAAGAAAAAAAGGTTTTTGTGATAGGATAATTTCACAACTGGACAGAAAAAATTACCCTCCTTACTCAAATAGACTGCTGGCGACGATTGGTTATCGACAGGTGACCTTCTGTCGGCCGACTTGTTGACCAACGCATCGACCGACGTGTTGTTTGGACCGGATTCATTGCCCAACCCGGATAATAGGGTAATTGATATTCATTCAAGTGTTACCACAACAGTTATTGTTAATACGTATGATGCACGATCCTCGCAGTAGAGAGCGCTATTTATGCAGTTCAAAATATATGAACTTCATATATTCATTGTATCTTATTTATCATCACGGGTTTATTACGAATCAACTTAACAGCCTACTCCCAGTTGGCTTGTTAGCTCAATTGGTAGAGCGCTGCACTAGTATCGCAGAGGTCAGTGGGTTCGAATCCCGTACAGACCTGATTTTTTTTTTTCAGGTCTGATTTTCGCTATTGCATAAATAGCGCTCTCTACTGGGAGGATCGTGCATCATACGTATCTACAACCGCAGTTCAAAATATATGAGCTTCATATATTCATTGTATCTTAGTTATTGTTAAATTATACAGTCAAAGCTAGTGAATAAAAAGCCGGGGAAACTAACTTAGCCAAAAAATGTTTAGACAGAATTACCACAACAGTTATTGTTAATGATACAGTCAAAACTAGTGAATAAATAGCCAGGAAAACATCACGGGTTATATGCCCAACATAAAACAAACCTATCAAAAATATATACATAAAAACACACATTTTCAATTTAAGAAAAGAGACATGATTTACATAAAAATATTAATACATTTTCCCCATAATTAATTAAGAATAACTTGACTATTTAATTAGTTCACAAAGCCTCACAAGATAAAAATTAGTAATAATAATTTTCAACGACGTTTCGACCTCACTGAGGTCATTTTCAAGCTGATGAAAAGGAAAGTTTTTACATACATGTACTAAATTCAAGACGTGGGAATGATAAAAGAGATAAAATATGGAAATATGTAAACGCTAGGCGTAAAATGGAAGTGATAAAGTTACAAAGGAGACAATATCAATAAATTATTATGAGAGTTGACGGAAGTAAAACTCTAAATTATACGAAGATACCGTAAATTATTATAGAAATAGCTTTACGCGGATTGAGTCTGACTGTTTGTTCAAGCTTGGCTTTATTTTTTTTTATAAAAAGCAACTCGTAATTTAGGCAGTCCAGTTTATTTTGCATTTCTTCAGGATTTTGAAACTGTGATTTAAGTCACTTGGGGTATGCCCATACCGCTCTTTAATGTGGTTCCCTATTGAAGACTGAGACGCTTTGTGTTCTTCAGCACGTTGGTAGAGGTGG